TGCAAGGCAAGCACTCTACCACTGAGCCACCTCCCCAGGCCCTGTCCCTTAGCTTTTAAACTCAAGGCTGGTACTCTGTCATTTGAGCCTCAGTGCTATTTGTGGTGTTTAATTGGAGGTAAGAGTTTCACAGACTTCCTTATTTGGTTGGCTTTGAACTGTGACCCTCAGATCTTGCCTCCTGAATAGCTAGATTACAGGCTTGAGCCACTGGTCTGGCTTAGTTTTGTTTGTTTACTCAGTGCCAGTACTAGAGCTTGAACTCAGGACCCAGGTGCTGACCTTTAGCTTTTTTGCTCAAAGTTAGGGCTCTACCACTTGAGCCACACCTCTACTTCTTGCCTTTTGATGATTAATTGGAAATAAGTCTCGTGGACTTTTCTTTCTGGGCTGGCTTGGAATTGTGAGCCTCAGATCTCAGCCTCCTGAATACAGGTGTGAGTCACTGACCCCTGGCTTAGTTTTGTTTATTCTTGACCTTCATATAAATGAAATCATACACTATGGAAGCAACCTGGTCCATCATTGGAGTGGAATGCCATTGGAGAGTTTTTATCATTTTGAGTGACACTACATGCTGCTGAGCTTTTTCCATGTACTACCTTGCATGGCAGAATGATGGCGCTATTGAGAAAGTCCTTCACATGATAATCCTTTGAATACTTGAAGACTGTTGCTCCAGTTCCTTAATTTTGCAAGGTCCATCTTGCATACCCTTCAACAGTTCCTAGTGAAGTATGGACATGAAGACACCACCCCACAGAGGTCCATGCTGGGTGTCTGAAAGTTTCTCTTCACATGTGGTTGGCTCAAGCATAGCCCAGGGCAATCATTCCTCTATTGTTCTAGATGCCTGTGAAGGTATTTTTGTTCCTTCAAAGCATGTTATTAACATCCAAGTGAATGTACATACATATTCTCCCCACCTCACTACTCAGACTATTTTGTAATGTGTTCTCTTTTATAGCTACATATTTACCTTGATATTATGCTACTGTAGTCTTTTGCACTTTGAATTTTTAAACTTAGGAATATATCAGAGATCTCTCCTTATCAATTTATAAAGACCTTCATATATATTATAGAGAGAGAGATAGATACACATATACATATATATATATATATGGTGACAGGAGTTGAATACAAGTCTTTTTTTTATCTTAGATGGTGCTCTACTACTTGGACCATACCTCCAGTCTGGTATTTTGCTGGCTAATTGGAGATAAAGCCTTGTGGATTTTTCTGCCTGAGCTGGCTTTGTATTATGATCCTCCAGGTCTCAGCCTTCTGGATAGCTAGGATTATAGGCATAAGCCACTGGTGCCCAGCTCTATATTTTTTTAAACAGTTGCTTACTATTTCATTGTACGGCTTTGCCATCATAACTTATGTGACTAATGTCATCATCATCATCATCATCATCATTATTATTATTGTTATTATTATTTGTTGGTCATGGGGCTCAAACTCTGGACTTGGGCATTATCCCTGCGCTCTTCAACTCAAGGTGAGCACTCTACCACTTGAGCCACAGTGCCACTTCTGGTTTTCTAGTGGTTAATTGGAGATAAGAGTCTCACAGACTTTTCTGCCGGGGCTGGCTTTGAACCATGATCCTCAGATCTCAGCCTCCTCAGTAGCTAGGATTACAGGTGTGAGCCACCGGCACCCAGCTGATGTCATTGTTTTGAATAATGACATTTTAAATATGACTAATGTCATTATTCAATAATTAAACAATATTTGTTTCTAGTATTTTGCTATGACAAACCTTATGCACATTTATTATTTTTCCTATTTTTCTTCCCTTCTCTTCTCTTCCCCTCCCCTTTCTTCCCTTCCCTTCCCTCCTCCTTTTTCCTTTTCTCCCCTTCCCTCTCCTCCTTCCCCTTTCTTTCCTTTTTTCTTTTTCCTTTCCTTTTTCTTTTTATTAAGTGTTGCAAATTATCAAAGGAATGCAAGGCTTAGAGCACAGCAAAGTGTGCCTGTGTGGCTTTAATCAAGCTCTTCATGAATACACTGGGCTTCTGTGGATTCCTGACAATGGTTTTGCAGACCTCATTTCTCCCGATCTATCTTATCACAAAGTTTCTCCTTAAAAGGACAGCTGGAGCTGTGGAAAACAAGTCAGGCCCAAGAGCCTTGGCACAGTAAGAGACGCTACACACTGATAGCATTTATCTGGCACATGCCTGAACCAGACAGCTCCTGGTCGAACACTCCACACATTGTGTGAAAAGCAGGCCACTGGAGAGTGCATCCAAAGAGGACAGTCATTCTGATGTGTCTCTGCTGGCTCTTAGAGCCATGTAGCAGGTCACCTGCAGTACACATTAGAAAAAGGCAATTGGCTGGGGTGTGGCTCAAGTGGTAGAGCATCTGTCTACCTAGCAAGTGTAAGGCCCTGAGTTCAAACCCCACTACCATACACATTAAGAAAAAAAAAGAAAAGAAAAGAAGAAGGCAATGAAGATGTAAGAGGAGGGAGGCACGTTTCCACAGGAAGCAGCGCTGTCCAGGGCTTCAGAGCCCAACTCCGGGCTGTTTAACATCTCAGATTAAGAAGGGTTCAGAAGGTGAGGTAACTAGCCAGCTCCTGTTCCTGGGGGGAGGGGGGCTATGCTGGGAGCCCACAGCACTGTGAGAATGTGGCACCTGAAACGCGCCACTGGGGGCTAGGGAGCAGTGCCCCCTACACAATGGTCCTTCAAAGCACCCCTGGGGCTGAGGAATTATGGTTGTCAGAGCAGAGGTTTCTTTTGGGTCCTGACCTAAGCCATCAATAAGGTACACAGGACATTAGAAAGATCAACTTCCTGATTTATGTAACTGCAACCCCCCCCATTTCTCCCCCGCCCCCACCATTACATAGCATTCATAATAATGAAAGGCTTGGGTGCTGTCCCTGTGCTCTTCAGCTCAAGGCAAGCACTCTACTGCTTGAGCCACAGTACCACTTCCAGGTTTCTAGTGGTTTATTGGAGAAAAGAGTCTCATGGACTTTTCTGCCCGGGCTGGCTTTGAACCGCAGTTCTCAGATCTCAACCTCCTGAGTAGCTAGGATTACAGGTGTGAGCCACCAGCGCCCAGCTAAAACATATTTTTTTTTGAAGATCTACTTCTTCCCTTAATTATTAGCTGAAAGGAAAAGGAAGCAATTGTGCTCATTTACTTTCATGTTTAAGAGGACAAAATGTATTTTCTCAGCCTTCTAGTTCCTACTTAATACTTGCCAGGGGGTTTTGTCCTCTTCCCTGCCTCCGTCTAAGTCCCTTCGGAGTCTTCTCATTCCAGAAGACCCAGGCTCGCCTTGTCCCACTCTCTGAGGCTCTCCTGACTTCTCTGAGCACAGCAGGCAGGGTGTCTACTGCCGCACCGCCTGGTCAGGACACACAC